TTTATTTAAGAATCAGGTATTTAAAATATTGTTCAAGTTTATTTGTTTAGTTAATTAAACGACCATGAACGAGCTTTAATCGAACCAAACAACGAGTAGCTCGTCGAACATTTGGTTTGCTTGCAGCCCTATTTTCATATGTCTCTTATTGATGGGAAACATTGGATAAGAATCATCTGTATCGATTAACAAATAGGATCCTACTTCATAGATCTTTTGAACTATGAATTTTCTTTCTCATGTTGGTTTGAATTTCCCACATTTGTGATAGTGGGTTATGATAAGGTCTCCTAGGACTAGGACCTATTCTCCAGCAATGAAGTTCTTGGCCCTCACTAGTTTTTCAGGAGCTCTATTATGCATGCTTACTTCTAAAACTTTAGCCGACAACTTGAGCTCATTTAGATTGTTTAGCTCTTCACGCTTGAGGCAAATATTCGGATTTTCATTTTTATTGCAGATTAAGGCAACACATAATGATGGAAGTTTAACTTCCAACAAAAGGATAGCCTTGGAACCGAAATCTGGTGTATAAGTTGTGGAACATGTAGGTTTGTGTTATGTTTTATGATAGGCCTACAATACCTCTGCTAACTTATTGTGCCATTCTTTCTTATTGGTTTTTAAGACTCATGTTTTGTTGAAAGCTTGGTTATATAGTATGTCGTGTGGTAGCATATAGTTGAATATCACTAAATAATTTAGTTGTGATACATTAGGGGGAGCCCACCTTGTGGGACCTAGGGAAACTATTATTCATTATGTGAGGAGGAGAAATCAAGGATAAGTTGTTTAATTATTTAGATTTTTTTTAAATCATGTTTAATTATTTAGGAAGGTTTCCTAAATTAAGTTTATGCTAATTAGGAAGTATTTATTATTTAGACTGGTTTCCTAAATTATGTTTAATTGTTTAGGAAGGTTTTCCAAATTATGTTTAATTGTTTAGGAAGGTTCTATTTATGTTATTATGTTCTAGGGGTTATTTAAGGGGGAGCTATCTACGGTTTTAGGATCATGCCATTGATGAGTTTTGTAAGTGTTTGGAGGGGAAAGTAAGACAAATACAAACGGATATGGTATTGTTGAATGAGATCATTTAGGCGATTGAAGGAAGGTTTGAAAATCTCGAGGAGATGATGAAACAAATGTTAAAGAATCAAGCTAAGAAGGCTCCATCGGAAACAAGGGGAAATCACAACAGTAATATGTCGAGAGAAGATCAGAGAGTTGCACCAAGCAAGATTGATGGGGATGAAATGATAAAGAATGTTGTCCCTGGTGTAGAGAAAGATTCAACTGAAGTATCCTTGGATGTGAATGGTAAAATTGCATTAGCAGAACTTGATTCACCTGCAAATCTCCTAAAAGAAAATAAAAATGGAATCAAAGGCTACAAGCATCAAGACTTCATAAGCCAAGATAATGAAGAGACTCTAGTGAAAACTAAAAAAATATGTACCAGTTGATTCTTTTTATTCTTCAAGTTCACATAGTCTTGGTGGATAAGCTGAGTGCAGAATAAAAGAAAGTTGTCCAATCTGTAAAACATTTTGAGATAATAGAACATTTTTCTACCGTTGGAGATTTTGTCAATTCAGAACTCAAAACAGTCAGTAATAGTTATGCTGACATGCATTTTGAGAGTTTCTTCACAAAAGAGAAATGGAAAGAAAAATATTTTGTTGTTTCACATAAACATATTATTGATAGAATTTTAAGCAGCAAACCTGCTACAACTATTTCACATGGATCCAACAAGGAAATGCATTCCAATATTACAACTACTAGTCCATTTTCTTTTGCAACTAGAAAAATATTCTTCGGCAGCAGTTTCCTTCGTTCCACATTAAGGGCAAGGTAGCTTTTAAGGACGGGAGTATTGGTATGTCAGGGGGAGTCCACCTTATGGGACCCATAGAAGCTATTATTCATTATTTGAGGAGGAAAAATCTAGGATATGTTGTTTAATTGTTTAGGAATGTTTTCAAAATCATGTTTAAATGTTTATGTATGTTTCCTAAATTATGTTAATTGTTTATGAAGGTTTTCTAAATTATATTTAATTTGTTGAGAAATATTTTCTAAATTATGTTTAATTGATTTAGGAAAGTTTTTTAAATTATGTCTAAATTGTTTAGGAAGGTTTTCTAAATTAAATTTATACTAATTAGGAAGTATTTAATTTTTTAGGAAGGTTTCCTAAATTATGTTTAATTGTTTAGAAAGTATTTAATTATGTTATTGTGTTCTAGGGTTATTTATGCAGGAGTTATCTAGGGTTTTAGGATAATGCCTTTGATAAGTTTATTGAGTGTTTGATGTCCATTATTTTTGTGTGGGTAGTGGTGTCTAGAATTTGGGAGAGAACGTCCTCTCTTGCTTGTTTGTATTTCATTTATTATCAATAAAAATTTGCGGCTTGCCGAATTTCTCTTGGTTTGTTAGATGTTTTTTATACCAAGACGTATCAGGTTGCATTGAATAAATCTATTTATTTTTGTACTTGTGAAAGCCATACAATTATAGTAAATAATTTTTTGAGGTACGTTAAAATTGTATACAATTTGATCTCTGAAAAACTACCTGACATTTTCCCATTTTACCTCTTTTAGTGGGATGGTTTCTACCCATTTTGAGAAGTATTCTATAGCTACAAGTATAAATTTATGACCTTTGGAAGATGAAGGGTCAATGGGTCTTATGATATCAGTTCAAAACTATTGAAAGGGTCATGATACCACCATATGATGAAGATTTGGTTGTGGTTGCAACTGGCCTAAAAGATTTGGTGTTGATGACAGTTATTTGTATACTCCATACATTCCCAAGTCAGACTATCGACAATACTTGTGTCTTTTATATTTTCAAGTTTATATTTCAATAGATGAGATAAAATTTCTCTATTTACAATTTGGATAAAAATAGGGGCAAGGGTATTTTGGGAATTTAAAAATATCTATATTTTTGAATGAATATTGGGCTTGCTATTTTTTATGGAGACAAATATCTTTGAAGGGAGGCTCTCCCCATAATTGAATCTCCTAGTAAAACAAGGATTCTTAGGACTTTTGAAAGTTATAAAATTGTCTGGAATTTGGACTTTGACAATTTGATGGCCTGCGATGGATGCTTCCATAAAAAAATTAGAATTTTCAAAGTTTTTTGTGAATTATTAGAATTTCTTAAAACCTAATGGCAATTTTATAATTTATGGTAGTTTCGAATATCCAAATTTTGTTAATACTTTATTTGATAATGAATTTTTTATTGGAGATATAACTCATCAAAAGACGTTTTTTCACTTAGTTTTAGTTAATTTTCTTCACTCTTTTACAATGAATTTTAGCTTTTTCTGTTCTGTTTTTAAGCAAAAAATTAAAAGACCAGAAAATGCTTAAACCACATTATTGGTAGGAAAAATGCTTGAAAGTCGAGACTTTTTCCATGTGACGGTTGATGATATTTTGATAGCATAAAAAGTTTAAAACTCTACATTTCACTTGAAATTTTGACAACTCGTTTTAACCCCTTTATTTATTGGTGATAAAATTACCCATTACCCTTTTGCTTGTCACATAAAAAATTATGGGTTGAGAGGAACTTCCCGAGGACTTATACCTGCTATGTTGATAATCATGCTTAGGCTTGGCGTGCATTGAAAGAGGGTGCCCCCTCATTATCTTTATATATATATATATACATGGAGGGGAGGGAGGGAAACTCCCTTCAATAAGAATGCTGACGACTTACTAAGCATTAAATAGAGAAAATGATCAAAATTGTATCTTGACTCTTTATAAATGATCAAAATGATCCCCAACTATATTAAATGATCATTTTTGTCCCTCAAATCCCTTTAAAAAATAAAAAAAGTTTCGTGGTTGGTGGTGGGATTATTTTGGTTCCTCTTTAAGGAGTGGAGGGATCAAAATTGTCCTTTATTATAGTTGAGAATCATTTTGATCATTCATAAAGAGTCAAGGGACTATTTTGATTATTTTCACGCATTAAATACAATTTGTTGAGGTGCAGATTTTAGTTGAAAAATCAATTTATTTATGGGCGCATTGATACCCCCTAAGGATGAAATGTTAAATTGATGGATTTAGTCCAAAACTTTAAATGCGTCAGTAGCTGTCGCTTTGGAATTTCTGGCATACTATCAAGTTAAGAACAATCTGTTAAGTTTAGAAACAACCTATTAGCTCTATTGCTTCTAGCTTATTCATTTAGCTATTGTTTCGAGTATTTTGGCAAATTAGACCTTTGTTGAGTTGACCAACTCCTGAGTAAGCTGGCTATATGTTGGTAGGAGCTTCGTCGAGGACTTGCTAATCCTTTAACTTAAAGGTGTAGGGAATGACTCGAGATACACTCTTTCTTGACCACTATCTCTTCCAAGGCATCAATGTGGTCCCTCTTTCAATTTAGTAGCACCAGTAAGACTCAACCCTATCTTTCTTAATTCTAATTTAGAGTCTTTTTAATGGTCAATTGGTATGCCATCTTATCTTTGGGTTGTGTTTTGATCATTTTCTCTATTCTCCTAGGATATACATATCCATGGAAACAACTCTTTATTGTGCAGTCAAATTTCTGCAAAACATTTCTTGTTGGCTTTGCAACTAGAATTTACTTTCATTCTGTATAAAAAAGAATCTTATTTTTTATTTTGCTGCTCCACTTTTGAAGGGAATTATGTGCTCTTCTAATTTCTTTAAATATCTTTTCACTAGTGCTAGGTCATATGCTACTGAAAGCAGCTATAGCTTCCGTCACATTCCTATCTCTATTTCTTAACCACCATGAATCCTTTTGTAATACATGCTTCTTTATCTTCTCTTCTAATTGCTTTATATATATATATATACACACACACGCGCGCGCGCGCACACACGCACACACAGTTTCTACAGTACTTTTTGCATTCCTGTCTCCATGTTATATCTTCTAAAAATATGCTCATGCTATTGCCTTATGATTGCTTTTTAATTCAGCAAAGAAACTGGTGGAGCTAAACCTGCTAATGCATTGAAACCTCCTCAGAAAAATGGTAATTTATCATGAATTACTTTCTATTATTATTTAGTTTAATGTTTTGTTTGCCATTTTATTTATAGAAATATTAACTTCAATTTAATATGTGAAGAGTTTGTAAATGATGAATTTGGTCAACGTCAAAACAAGCCTCGTAGGTGAGTGCAGATATTGCCAATTCGCACTTCAAGTTATTGCATTTAAAATTGCTTCATTTATTTATTTGCTTCAAATTTCATACTTAGCAGGTACTCAGAGATGAACTTTGGCCAATGAAGTATATATAAGTTTACCTATATTTGAATAAGCAGCTCAAGGTTAACCATCTGGTTCCGCATTTATTTTTTAAGCTCTGATTGATTGACTGTATTGTTTTTTCATCCACAATGTGAACCTTTACGTGTGTAGGCCCATCTGAGACCCTCTGTGATCTTCAGCTTTGACCTGGAGCACTTTGGGGTGTTTATATCTCAATAGAATGCTAGGTAAGAATTTTTGTCTTTGTCTATTGTCTTTTTTAAGTTTCTTGTTCATTTTAAACATTCTAACTTAACGTTTTTCGTTATTATAGTTGAAATAAATGATTTTTCCCCCTTTCTTCCTTATAATTGAAAGCTATCAGGGCATGGTGCGTTCATACTTCAAATCGAAATAGTATAGGATATAGATATATCCTAGTGTCCCGGGAATAAAAAAAAGATTGTAAAGACTTGGGCTCTATGTGGTTCAACATTTTGAGTATGGTATGTGGCACTAGCTTCCATAACCTGCCTTGTATCCATTGAGGATAGCTCAGTTGGAGGGTTTCATGCCTGCCTGACTGCAAAGAGGATATTCTCAACTGTGCCTTTAATGATTCCTTTAATAGGATTACTACTTTTTTTAGGAATAATGATTAGCATAGCTCAATTTTATTGAAGTAATAAAAAAGTAGTACAAGAGTCAGCTAAAATAAAGTAGAGGAACCACTAAGACTTCATTTGGGACAGCTTTCTTACTACTTTTTAAAAATTATTTTCTAGCAAAAATTTATTGAAAGTAGCGAAAAAAATAGTGGTTTATAATTGTCCCCAAACAATACCTAAAATAAATACATTTAAGAAAAAGTGTAGTTCCACAAATCACAGAAGTATAATTTTATTGACCAAGCAATCAAGATGTAAACTTTTTAACGTTCAACTCTGATAACATATCTGATAAGAAAACCATGGCTCAGAAACCAAAATTTTGGAACAAGACTGCAGAACAATGCAAATTTGAAGAACCTAAGAACAGTTCAGCTGTGCATGCTGAGCAGGAAGGTCGCTACTAAGAAAATACAATTTTTTATCATTGCCCTCTCTTCACTATCCCGACTAGTAGGTATCACAACATTTGAAGGTAAGAGAACCAGGCCCAAAATATGTGAAGAAACCTCGAAGTAACGAATGAACCAAAGGGAACATCTCCAAAATATTTTAGAATAACCAGCATTCTTCAAGCAGTCCTTGTTTGTGAAATCAGAAGCCTAAACCCAAACAAATAAATAGGAATTCATAGAACGTAGATGGTAACATAAATCAAAATCTTATAAAGAAGGCCAGGGTGAACTTCTCGATCGTACTTCAAAACCCAAAATCAACCTCCCTAATGGTACCTCAGTGACCAATAAAGATATCCCAAGATCACAACCAATTCATAGAATGTACAGGGCACGACATCCAAGTTGGACACCTATAAACTTGCGTGAATTTTCCATTTTTCCGTGATCGAAATTACATCTAGAGAACAGCTGCTATTTAATTTGCTGAAGTGAGGCGAGGCGCGCCTTGATTTGAGGCGTAAGCCTCATAGAGCACTGCTGAAGCTCCCGCCTCGATGCGTTACGGGGTCAAATTGCACTGAGGCGCGACATTCAAAATAAATAAGGAACATTAAACTTTTTATCTACGCATGTAACTATTAAAGAATGAATGTAACATTGATACCACTTATCAACTATTAAAAATGGCGACAAATATCGACAGCCTCTCAACATCCCAAAATCAGTTAAAACTGTAAAAGTGCCTTATGCTTTCCTGCTTTGGAAAATTGACTAGAGTACATGTTTTATTTCCTGTAATAATGACCTCATTCTGTTTTTGCGTCATGCAGGTTTCAAACTCCCGCTGATAAGCTGCAAATCGATGCAATGATATGTTGTGGTTGGTGGCTGGACGTATAGTTCGACTAGGATGGTTTTTTTGGCTGATTCTTGTAGTTCTATTGACAATTAAAATGCAAGTTATGTTTTTCATGCTTTTAATTGTTTCTGCGTTCTTCTACCCCAGGTTCAAGTGCAGTTGTGACGGAAGCCTGTGAGATGTTAGTTTGCTTCTTTTTTGTTATATGATTATTGAGAAAATAAGTAGCAGTAGTGCCTGCTTATATTTTTTATATGTCTATTGCTCATGTATTTATTTCATTTTACTGTGCATTTCTGTCTTGAGAATGGTGGCTTGCCATGTGTAACAAACATCTTGTGCTTAAGAACCGGAAATTTATTAGTTGTGCGCTTTGCTTATTTGAGTTTTAATGATTTTAGTATTATCTGTTTTTAAATAGTTGCTTTAGGGTCCAACATATTTCAGAGACAGTATGAACCCGAAAGAACAAATAAATGTTGGTTAGAAGTTAGAGCAGTTGGTCCTCGTTGAATTGTCATAAGATCGTGGATGCTGTTCATTATTAAGTTCTGTTTCACTGATATTAGGTTTCCTTTGGGACAATTTTGTATTGTATTGTTTTTTAAAATAGTTTTTTATTAAAAAAATTTCAAATTCAAAATTTTTTGTACTAGCAAGCGCTTTTAAAAAGCAAGAAGAAAGCTGTCCAAAATGAAACCTAAATCTCTATGCATTTTCAAAAAAATAAAGAATAATAAGAATAATTAATCCTCAATGATGCACTGTATTGGCTTTAAAATATGGAACTGTCGTGCTGCTGTTTTTAGAGAAAAAGTATATAAAGAATTAATAAAATAAAATATATAACACTTTTGATTAAAAAGATAGCAATTAAAATATAATCATTGGACATCAGAGCAGAAAATATAGGATTTAAAAGCATGTTCTTTGGTATAACTCTTATTGAAAAATTTATGTTAAGTATATTGTTGGAGTGGCACATACAGTTTTATTGGTGTAGTGATTTTATAAGATTTGTATGCATTTTTATCTTGGCTCAGATCTTTTGTTTCATAGTTATTGTCGCTCTAATTCAAAGATTCATTAAATGAATTCAAATACTTTCATATATGCAGGCGAATGGGATTTTTGACAATTTATATGCGTGACGCATTAAATGAGAAATTGGAATCTTTCTGGCAATGAGTGGTGTAATTTTTGGCCTTGTGCCTAGTGGCCCTAGTTACCTAGTTATGGCAGATGCCGCCAAGAGCGATTTTTGGGGCCTAGGGAAATAGTAAGAACAACATCCAGGTGCCCAATTGTAGTGCTCGGGCATAAAAAAACAATATGATTTAATGCTAGTTACATTTTTGGTCCGGCATTCAAGTGTGTTGGGCTGCCTAGGCGCTTCGTTGCTAAACCCAAAAGGCAGTTGCAAATTATTTGTTCAGGATGATTTATAGGTGGTAGGTATGTAATATTAATATTTTAGGTATTAGATATATAAATATCATGAAATAAAGTGATATGTATGTATTTTTTTTCATAGCGATAATTTAGGGATTCGAGGCAGTTTGGCATGTTGAAACTTGTTAATTATGAATTAGGTTGTTAGACTTAAGCTTATGTCCCAACGGCTAATCAAGAGAGGAGTTGTGAATTGGTAATTTAAAAAATTTCCTCTTAAATTGATTTAAATTTAGTGATTTTTTAAAAATGATTTTTCAACCATAGATAAAAATAAAAATAGAAAGAAAATAAAAAGTAGCGAAAAATAAAAGGACAAGATTTATAGTGGTTCGGTCAAACACGACCTACATTCACTCTCTGAAGTCTCCCACTTTAGGTATTACACTAATACCACAAGTGTCTCTCCTTTTGCACGCACAGCAAGGCGGAGAAGCCTTTACTCTCTTCTTCAATTTCCCTTTAGTATGCACGAAGACCAAATGACAAAAAGATCTCATGACAGTCTTAAGTGAACATTTTATAAGAAAGACACGAAAACCTTCCAAAAATTGTAATTTTTCAAATCTGTGCGTTTATGATCGTCCCGTACGATCTCATTTCGTACGTACGAATAGTATAAAAACTGTTGTATACAAACTCAATGTATATTGGTACGAACTACCTTCGTATCCGATCATTGTCCCGTACGAACATGGTTCGTCTTGTACGAATAGTTACTCTCAAGGTTCGTTGGAACGAAAATGCAGGACGGACCACAATTTCAAAGAACAGAGGACATCATCCTGGGACGAATGCGTTAGTTCGTCTGGACGAATAGTTCAAGAGCACAAGTCCAGAGGACATCTTCCTGGGACGAATGTGTTAAATCGTCTGGACAAATAGTTCAAAGCACAAGTCTAGAGGACATCGTCCTGGGACGAATGGGTTAGTTCGTCTGGACGAATAGTTCAAGAGCACAAGTCTAGAGGACATCGTCCTGGGACGAATGGGTTAGTTCGTCTAGACGAATAGTTCAAGAGCACAAGTCCAGAGGACATCATCTTGGGACAAATGTGTTAAATTGTCTGGACGAACAGTTCAAAGCACAAGTCCAGAGGACATCGTCCTGGGACGAATGGGTCAGAATTGTCTGGATGATCAGGACTTAGAAAAAATTTTGCCCGCTTTGTTCGTTCTGTTGCTCTTTGGGGATTATAACTAACCAGATCGTCCTGTACGAACATGGTTCGTATTGTACAATCATTATTATAAAATTGTGAATTTTAAAGCTCTCCCCTGGTGTGTGTGTGTGATAAGTTCCTCAATTATATTCACACTCTCTCAGACTCAAATAAAAGAAAAATACAGACTCTAAGTTACAAAATATTCTAAGCAGATCTTGATTTGAAGCCTTCAATAATCTTGAGTATAAATTCCCTGAAATGTTAGTACACACAAGAGCAAAAATAAATCTTCTAAAATATGTTAGGAGAAAATAATAATATTTGAAGTCACAAAAATATACAAGTTGCAAGAATATAAAACATACAAAGCTAAGTAGCAACTATTCTCAACAAACTCTCCCTTTTTGATGATGGCAAAATAATTATTATTTGTATAAATTTGAGTTTCTCCTAAACTCTCCTTAAATGAATAAGAATGTAAGAATAAGGGGTATTATTATTGAACTAATCATAGTTTTTTTTTTTAAATTTAAAGTTTTTCACTCACAAAAATAATAACATTGAACCACTCAAACAAAAAAAAACAAAAAAAAAACACAAAAGTACGAACTACACACAAATGTCAAATAATATTTCTTTTCCTTTTTGACAACAATAGAAAGAGAAGAAGAAACGAACAAATACAGAAATGTAAGGAGTCATATGAAAAGTCTTTGATAATTGATCTATAAAGAGATTGAGTTATATTTGCAATAAAAAAATTAATGTCATTAGAGAAATAAAAAGATTCATATGATTTAAGTATAAATATAATATAGACAAGAAAAAAATATCAAAATCATGAATTAGTTTAGACAATAAGATAAGTAAAATCTTTGCAAAGTAGATGAATGTAAAATTTGTATATTTTAAATTTCAATACAAAATAAAATTGATTTGAATTTAAAGATTAAAAGATTGAGGAAAGATTATATACTTGTGGCGCTTTGCGTATCTTTTCAATATTTGTGGCACACTTTGTGGATCTTTTTTTTATTTGTAGGCTAAGTTTGTGCATATTTTTCAATTTACGAACCATTGCGCATTCTTTTGATTTTTATACATTTGTACATTTTCAAGTGTTTACTTGATCTTTCCAGAATCGATAATATAAAATCTCAAATTTTTCTAAGTATAACAATATTTATATTAAAAAGAGATAAAAATAATAAAACATCAAAATTGTAATAATAATATTAAAATAATATTAGTCTACCAAGAGACATGAGATTGATATCCTAAATTATATCGAGTTATAACACAATTTAAATTTTTTTAAAAATTAGATTTTCTAATAAATTCAATTGTGTATTACATTTCAAAATATAGCACTTGTTAGATCAATATTTTAAGGATAATCATATAGGCTAACACACATTTCTGAAAGAGATCAAAATCACTAAAAACAAGACAGGATAATTTTTATTGATATCATAGTGAATGATATTACATTGAGCATGAATGATATCAATACACAGATATTCATAACACATAAAACATAAAAACTAAAAATCACCAAACATCTCATAAAATATAAAAAATATAAAAACTAACAATCTCATCACATCATAGCCGGTAGAGAGAATCATAAAAGACGTATAGTAATTACTCAGAGGGACCCTAATCTGAAGGAGGTGGTGGGTTGAATATATTAAAATTGCTATTCATCATAGCTATATTCATATTGACTGATTCAATTTGACCTATAACCCAACCCATATCCTGTTGATATTGAAAGTTCTACTGCTGAAGATGAGTTTCAATCTGTTCAAAATATTGATCAAAGTGGCTCTCAAGATGATCAAATTGCTGGACCATATCCTAAAAATTTTGACTATCAGCAGGTGCGGGTGGATATCTTCTTCTTTCTTCCTCAGAGTCAATATTTTCAAATTGAGCATCTTTATTGAAGATTTCTCAGAATGATCCATCATTATAGTAGACAGGCTCCTCTAGATTTTGAACAGGATGAACTAGTTCATACTTTTTTTCTAAAATATAGATCACAAGATGTCCTATAGCTATATTCTTCTTTCTCTTATGGGAGACATGGTCAATCTCAAAAAGTCCATACATTTAGTCAATGATCAGTTGGGCTTCATCTATAGGTTGGCTAGTCATAATCAGATATGTCACTGTAGAAAGAAGAGGTGTAATATTCACTCGATCACCAGCTTTAGGAATAATAGAGGTACAAAGAACATGCTGGATGATTCGGGCATTTTGGTTAAGAGAGGCCATCTTAGGCATATAATCTACTCCTCTAATCCCTCTAATAACTTGATTTATCGCAGTCTAGTCATAGTTGGAGGAAGAGGTCAATGTATGGGCTCTAATATCTTGAGTCCTTATATTTAAAAATATCCCCAAATCCTCCTTTGTTATTTCAACCCTCTTCTTAAAAACATAAGATTTAATCACACTCTGGTCAGAATTAAAAGACATGTTTGCAAGGAAGTAGTGAAATATTTCCTTGTTGTAGAGATGGATTAGAATCAAAATAAGAGCAAACTGGATAGAAGCAAAAAGGTCCATCACTTTAAAAGTAAGTTGTTCCTGGAGAAGGGCTCTAGAGTGAGTGATTTTTGTGCATATGAACTTAGGAAAAGACTCTTCATTTTCTTTGGATAGAAAGTTTTCTCCTAAATTTCTAGAGGAAGGTCCCCTAGTCAGTTCTTTAGCATGCCTAACCCTCTTGCTTGAACTCGCCATTAAAAAGATCAAAGGG